CTCTGATAATCCATTAATCCGATCTTCGTTCCCAATGGCCAAATCAGAGCCCTGATCTCCACTGACCACTGAGCATTAAAAAAGAAGAAAAATCTTTGATCTTTCCATTTCTATTCGCCCTCTCTCTCGGTTAACAATGTCGCGCCTTCTCTCGGTTCTGATTCTCGCGACTCTCGCGAGCAACTTTGATGAGCTTTTTGCCGAAGGGTAAATAACGCTATCTTGCATAATTTGCATTTTAGCTTGCCAAAGTTTGATTTTATTTATTTATTTCATGTTTGCATTTAATTGTTGACTGTTTACGATTTCCTCATTTCAAAATCATCTTCTTCATCAGTCGAGCTGAGTGTTTGATACGAATGCTCTTTTTTTGCTAAATTTTGCTTGTTGGTAAGATTTGAATCCCCGTAGTGTAATTTATGCAGTCGAAAGGAATTAAGGATCAAGCAAGTGATCCAAGACCGAAATGTGAAGCTGGATCGAGTTGAGAAGTCTAATGCAGTCGATCCCTCACGAGTTATTCAGCTCTCATGGCGTCCAAGGTCAGGTAGTCTTGTCAATCATAAGCTTTGTTGCTTTCTTTAAGCTTACAGAGATATATTCTAAAAATACAAGAATTGTGCTCTTGTACAGTGTTTGTTTGATTTTGTGATTGCTAAGAGCCTCAAAGAATAAAAGAAACATTCCCCGGCCCTTATGTTAGACTTGATAACTACAAGGTTACAAGTTCGACTCTAGTAAGAACGGCATATTGGCCTTCTTAGCCCCGTGCACACCTTCGGGTAGTGATTGCGGTGGTTTTCCTCAATGATCAATTATGAGAAATTTGTGTTGTATGTGCATTCAATTTTTTATCACGAATTTTGGGAAAACTTTGAGTGAGGAATTTTGGTTGTCTAAACATTTTATGTTGTTTTTGTGTGATAGGGTCTTTTTATACAAAGATTTCCTAACAGAGGAAGAATGTGATCACTTAATGGCTTTGGTAAGTCTATGCTCGATACTTTTGTTGTCTTTGCATTCTATTTTGTCATTTGTTTGAATAAAATAGTTTATATGAATCTACTCCGACGTCTTGGTTTAGGTGCATGCCAAGAACAGTAACGCTGCTGGAAGTAATGGTGCGGAGAAGCTGGCATCTAAGTTGGATTTTTATTTAGATACAGATGTAAGTTCCTTATTTCCCTGATTGCAGATGTAAAAGATTGCCTCTATGGCCGAATTTGTAGCAGGGTTTTGTACTGGTTCTTATAATTTCCATAAGTCTTCCTGATTGGTTCATCGGATTGGGATGGGGGAGATGGGATTTGAACATAGGATGAATGCCTAGAATGGGGATGAGCTGTCATGATAGCCTTCGATATCTTCAATAGTAAGGAATGGCTAAACAGATTCTCATATTTTCGGTAGTAAGGAATGACTGAACATGCAGTTTTAACTTTTTACTTCATTTATTCCATTCTGCCCTTCCATATGACCATGCCACTTCATTGGTTGTCTGTTTGGATCTAGGATGAAATTGTAGCTAGGGTTGAAGAACGAATTTCAGCTTGGACCTTTTTGCCCAAAGGTATTGTCTGTTATCATTTTCTTTTTACCTGTTTTACACTATAACTTGTTTTCGTAGTGATATGTTGTCATATATATGCTGCTTTATATTTTCACAGTGAACAGCATGCCCTTAAAGGTTACGCATTTTGGAGTTGAAGATACTAAGCAAAAGTATACTTATTTTAACAAGAATTCCACAGAACTGCAAATTGCACCCGTAATAGCAACAGTGATTTTATACCTTTCCAATGTCTCTGCTGGTGGGCAGATCCTTTTTCCCGAGTCAGGGGTAAGAGATATACTGACACTGTCACTGTTACCATTTGCGTGGAATTGCTTATAATCCTCATCTGAAAACTCACACTGCAGAGCAAGATCTGGTCCTCATCCAATTGCATGACGAGTAATTCCACCATCCGACCTACTAAAGGAAATGCACTTCTATTTTTTGCTGTCAATCTTAACGCAACTCCTGACCACAGTAGCTCCCATGCCAGATGTGCTGTCCTCGAGGGTGATATGTGGTCCGCCACAAAATTCTTGTATCTCAAAGCAATCAATCGAGAAATAACCTCCACTGATTGCATGGATGAAGATGACAACTGTCCTCGTTGGGCTGCCATTGGGGAGTGTCAAAGGAATCCGGTTTTCATGGTTGGTTCCCCCGATTACTACGGTACATGTAGGAAAAGTTGTAATGTATGCTAATAGTTAGCCTCTTATGTATATGGTATACCCAACACTAATTTGTTTCTGGTTTCTTGATAATCTTCATTCATATGAAAGAGTCTGATCTGTTTTGTATATCAGACATGAGAAATCATGCAGGAGACAACTGCTGAGTGTCAAAGTATATTACACATTGCACTGAAAGTTTATGCAGTATTCTGCAATTTGCACAAATATTAGTGAAGTAGGTAGTTTTCTAGAGGGTTTACAATGCTGTTTGGCTTTTTAAAAAATAATATTTGTGCAAGAAAGGTCAATGGAGAAGATGTTATGCTTCTTAATTCTGCTTTCTGCTATCTTCTGAGCTTGCATCACACTGCTTTATCCTTGTTTCTCCATCTTCAAGTTCTTTGATGTATAACCTGCCTTTCTGGTATATACAATTTAGTTCATTCATTCTGGATTTTTAGTTCATTCATTTTGAATATATAGTTCAAATTATGCACAACATAATGCTGTTGAGGAGAATCGAAACTGTTTTTTTTTTTTTTTTTTTTTTTTAATAGGACGCGCGTTTTTAGTCAAAACAACGTCGTGTTTGCAACCGGAGTTGCCCAGCATAACCATTGCTGTCAAAGAGGCCAACCTGCCGCCTAATTTTGGCAGGCTTTATGGGCTGGCTTGTGAAGCCCCGCGGGCTATATTTCAAAGTAACCCTAGCACATTCCAATGCGGGTAGGCAACTATACCTTAATTTTTATTTTTTTTTAAAATTATAATTAACCATTAAAATCATGATTCATGAATTACAAGATTAAAAAAAAAACAATAAATACATTATAAGAATAAAAATTAATAATATATAATATATATTTTATAGATATATATAAAGGGCTTGGCCCGCGGATGGATCCGTTGCTCGCATTGGCCAACCAGCGTGGGCTTACGAGCTAGGCCCCATATATTTGTTGTGCATAATTTTTGTGTCCCTAATTCGCTCCAATTCGCTCTATTCGGAGATGGCGGGACAGGTCACGAGTTTCAGCACACTTTGACATCTCTAATCTATATCCAACTTTTATAACAATGTGAACTTCAATGCTCATTTATATGGAATTTTCATGAGAGATTATAAATTATAAGAAATTTTCAACATGATAAAGAATAATATTGTCGAAATAGGCACTGGCCGGTGATATTCTTTTAAATATTGAACGTAACGTTTTTACTATATTTATGTAAACGTTACATTCACTTTTTGCTAAGTTGACGAATAATTATAGTACAAAATAAGACGCGTAAACTCATAATGGAAATCAATATAAAAGGTGCCACATAATTCATGTTTTTGTAATTCTTATTTTTGTTTTCATATATTATATGATTATTTTTATTTTTAAACTTGAGCTTTATTTGAATCTAAGGAGATTTTTTTTTTTTATAACAAATTTTTAAATCATTATCATACTTATAAGATTTGACTTTGATACCTTAAAAGAGACTAAATTTTTTATACTTAAACTTTTGGCAAATATAATAATATAATTTAAAGGGTTTCTTTCATAAAATTCATTAATTTAATAATACCTTACGTCTTTATAATTCATTTTACATATTGAACAATTAATTTACTAAATATTTTTTTACAAATAACTATTATTATTTTTTGAATACAATGAATGAAGCCACATGAACAAAGAACTCAAATCTAATCACCCGTTATTGGGTTACTAACTATGCAAGCTAATCCCAAGTTGTTCTAGTTAACAATCTCCATTAGCATCCCACAAGGTATATGTGTAAATCTCATGACTTTTTCATGAAACAATGGTAAATCTATAAATTTGTTTGTCATTTTGTTTTGTTCGTGAAGAACGTGATAGATCTTACCTCTCTTTCATGAGACAACGGAAGATTCGCTAATTAACTTGTTTTTCACTATGCTTTGCTGGCAAGAAACATGATAGAATCGGACCTTCCCATTCATTGCCAACAAATGCTTGCTCTTCTTCATGAGATTCCACAAGAGGCCCTCGACCACAGCTTTACCCAATAGGTAGTCAATTGTTTTAGAAAACAATATTTATGTTATTTACAATCTATTTGTGAGATTTCACAAGAGACCCTTGACTATCAATTATCAACTATTTGCTAATTACAAAATAATTTTTTATGTTATTTACAATCTATTATGATCCATTACAATTAGATGCATTATATATATATTTTTTGGGAAGTGAGATTGGACATTATTAACAATCTCCACCATCATCACACAAGGTCTACATGTAAATCTCATATATGCATCTTTCATGAGACAACAATAGATCCACCAATTTGTCTACCACTCTATTTTATTCACATAAAACGTGATAAATCCGACTATTCGTTCATGAGACAATGATAGATAAGCTAACTTGTCTGTCACTTTGTTTTGCTCGTATGAAACGTGATAGATCCGGACCTCCCAACCCATTGCCAACAAATACTTGTCCTTCTTCGTGAGATGCAAGGAGCCCCTAACCACATCTTTACTCGGTTCATTGCTTTACAGCAAATATCAACTATCTCCTAATTACAAAATACCATTTTATGTTATTTAAAACTCATCATGGTCCATTATAATTAGTTACATTTTTGGGAAGTGTGATTCGACATTATTATTATTATTATTATTATTAAGTAAATATTGCATTTGTTTTCCAATTACAAACTTTCATGCTAGCTAAAAAGAGTCAATTTCCGTTTTCATATATATATATACATGTATTGCTCCTTCATTCTGATGTCTCTCCTGTACAGTTTTCGCCGACTTGTCCCCGTCTGTACACACAGCCAGCTGTCTCTCTCTACATAATCGCATATATACATACATACGTCAATTACATAATTTTCTCTTTGCCGGCGGCCTTGAATCCCGCCGAGCGACGGTGATCTCTGCCGATCCTTCTCACTGGTACGTGAACACTGTAGGTTTCTTCTGTTAAATTGTGCGGCACGTGTTGATCAAGGATCACATGGCCTCGAACCCTAAGAGAAGCTCTATTCCTTGATTTTCAATCAAGTGGATTTTATTTTGATCCGGAATTATTGCCATTTTCATTTTTCTTGCTTAGTGTTTCGTATATGCTTTTGTTTTTTGTTGATGACTTTTACTTTTCCTTTTTATTTTAAATTTATTTTTTGTATATTTTCATTGCAATTATGTGCTCTGGTTATTGGTTTGCTAGTGCTTTGAGAAGGATTTGCTGTATATAGTCGAGTTGGCGTTGTGGATATGACTTTTTTGATGGAAAATCTTTGTTGTTGCTATTTTGTTGAATGGTTTAAGTGATTCTCTTATTCCATTGGCACCAAGCATGTGTAATGATCCATTCATTGTGACGTTTCAGGTGGAATAGAGTCAGGTTTTTGCATTACTGCTACAGTTTTAGAGCCTGCAGCTTGGCATTGCTTGTTCCTTTGTAATTTATCATTTCTCTTGAATAAATTAGCACAGTAATGATAAGCAATTGGATTTTAGTGTGCATACATCCGCACATTGGATTCAAGTCAGTCCTTCCTTACCAAGGGAAAAGGAGGCTAATTTATTGTCTCTTTTCTACATTGCTGATTATGCACATCACGAATTCTTTCTATGCACATCACTGATTATGTCATCCATGAGACTGTAGCTATGATATATTAGTTTCTTGAGTTTAAGTATTAGCTTTTTGGTGAGTCAGACTTTATTGTTTTTTACACCCAAGATATTAAAACAAACTCCATTAGACGTAGAATCATATGGAAAAAAACAGAAGTATGAGGGTTCCTTTTTTCTTAGGCTCCTTCATTTTTATTCAATACATGCCCCCTACTCCCCTAGATTGAAGTGGCCTTTATCTGTGGGGGGGTATTTGGGAGTTCGTGTGTGTGGGAGTTAGATTTTTCAGTTTTGAACTATAAACTGAATTTTCTTTCATTTGATATAAAGGATTCAAATGGTTATAATGATTTATACCATAGAATCTTGTTCTAGTGTAAAAATAAAAATTGCCTTAAACTTTTTGATGTAGTTGCATTTTATGAGCTATTAGCTGTTGAGGATAGATGTCAGTTGCAAAATTCGGCACTCTTGGTACTCCAGATGCAACAAGATCAGATGAGGGGAATAATTCACTTGACACTTTCATTAGACAAGCTATAGGGAAGGAGCCTCTCCTTTCTTTCTCGAGAACAGGTGACAGCCCAGTACAGTTGATTCAGTTACTTCATGCCTTAGATCAGCCAGGTACAACAGAACTTTCCATTTACCCCAAAACTACGTATACTGTACTAGAGTTCTTTAACTTTTGTGCTTATTAGATTGGATATATTGACGAATTTCCTTTACTTACTACACACCTGTTGCAAGTAGACAAATTTAGTTGGTAAAAATGTCTTATTGGGACTGAATGGAAGCAGATAATTGATGTAGTAGACTTGTGAGTTGTGAGTTGTGGCAAGATTGGAGCTTAGGATTAGTTTTGTTTTAGGTGCCTTGTAAATTCTTTGCGTTTGATCCAGTAGTGGCAATGGCAATGAAAAAGTCGGAATGTAAGATGTAAGTGAGGCTTATAATTGGTTGCATTGTGGACAAAATAAAACCTAGAGACTGATTAGTTGCTTTTGTTTTCATGCAGATCTTCCAGGCTGGCCTTTGTTGACACCTTTGAAAGTTCAGATGCAAAAGTGTGTGAAATGTTTCCGGGAATTTTGTTCACCTGTAAACTATCGTAGACATATGCGCTTGCATCGCCGATCTTTAAATTTTGATAAGGTTTTTTCAGTTTGTCTTTTGTTCCTGCTATGTTGTTCCAATATTGTCTTTTTAGTTTTAGGTTCACCTTGACTGACTTGGTTGATTATACTCTTTCAATCATGTATCATCTCTCTTTACTTAGATTAGATAATTTGTATTCTGTTATCAACAACAATCTAGCTTACATTATGACCAAGCAGAAAGATTTATGACGAGTGAAGTAATAGATCCTTTTACTTCAATGCCTCTGCATGTCCTTTTACTAAATTGTATGCACTATAAAGTGTGAATTGTGAATTCTGCCCATTGTAAATTGTATATTTGGCCTAATTAGGATTCCTGAAACAATCAGACTTATCATTGATTAACAAAACCCTTAATATTTAAATTATCCAGGAGTCACGCAAGTATAGAGGTTTATTGGGTGCATTTTGGGACAAGGTAATTAGTGCGTTTGTTGGAATCTTTTCTTGTGCAAGGTTGTCTTCTAGTTGCAAAATACTTATTCATGCTCTCTGCATGCAGCTTACATTGGAGGAGGTTAAGAAAGTTGCATCATTGAATGATGTCTCACTAAAGGTAAAAAAAAAAAAAAGAACTTTTCCATATGCTGTGCGGATGGTCCCCAACCCCAATGCAACCATGTTTCACATATATAGAGAATATAACAAAAAAAAAAAGAACTCTTTCCAGGAAATTCCTGGGACTTCACTTGTCAATGGACTGTCATTGTCTATCTGCAAAGCAATGGTTTGGACTCTTCCATCAGTTTATGTGAAAGCAGGCTCTGCATTATTGGTAAGGTTCCTGCTCATTGATGATGTTTCTGCCAACCCCATTTATTCTAGTTCTTATCTTTTTGCTCTCATCATCTTTCTTAATACTAAGCTGGGATTTTATGCAGGAAATCATCCAAGCTAAACCCTGCAGGCTTCCACTCTCATCCCTTGAACTATTTAGCATCCTTGATGATGCTAGTGAGAGAACATTTTTATGTGCTGGCACAGCAGAAGCAGTGCAAAAATATGTTTTTGATGGTGAAGTTGCAAAAGTTGGCCTTGATCTGAAGAATTTAATTGCATGCACTTGCTTCCTTTTTGAGCAGAAACTGGTATTCTTTTTCTTCTTACATTTCATTCTGAGTTACTCATGTTTTCCTGTTGACAACTGCCACTCTTTATGCATCCAATGTTTCTTTGCAAAGGCATATGGACTTATATGCAGATGCATTGTTACACTAGTCATTTATTTAATCTAGTTCAGACATCTTCAGCCGAGGCCTATAGATGCACCAGTTAGAGAGACTGGTAATTTAGTAGTAGCTGGAGATGGGACATGAAAAAGTGAACTAAACTTATTTGGACGGGAGTTTTGGAGTATTTTAGAAGATGCTAATCGAAAGGATTATGACAGATTTGGATTCAAGAGAAAACCATAGCTAGATTGGAATTAATGCTTAGTTGAGTTGTGTTGATTGATTACATCCTTCTATCCAGCATCCATGGTCTCTGCTGTTCCTTTATGGTTAGGTGAAAGCATGGCTTGTTGACAAAGATGCAGAGGCATTGAGATGCCAGAAGTTGCTTGTGGAGGAGGAAGAAGCTGCTCAGAGAAGGTATGATTTTATTGGTCATATGTAAGCCTAATCTGTTCTCAAGATTTGCTTGTGCCAAAATGACATTTTGCTTCTAATCTTCTATACAAGAGAACAGTTCTTGTGACTTTATGTTGCACATTGTCAAGCCGTTTTTTTCATCAACGGATCTCTCTCATATGTATATATGACAGGAAAGCTGAGCTATTAGAAATCAAAAGACAAAAAAAGTTGCGACAGAAGGAACAGAAGGCAAGGGATCAAACAAATGAGGAAAAAGTGGATATCATTGTGATGGCTGATTCTTTAGATGATTCATTGATGGCAGGAGTATCCAGTCCTCCAGCATCATCTGATTCAAACTCTAGCAGCAATCTTGATGTTTCAGTGGATGACTCCTGCCTAGAAATGGTCCACTTAAATAAAGATCAGGCTTTTGAAGCACAAAAGTTTTTCAATGAAAATTTTGAAATGGCTGTTCATAATGTTGAACCCCAGCTGGTGCTGGCAAATAGTCAAGAGCAACTTGCTAATAGCCAATGGCAGGTACAAAAACCTCAGAGGCCTGGACGGAATGGTTTTTATGGTAGTCAGAATCATCAAGATTTGAAAGTTGAGCCTGTGCAGAAACATGGACCTCCTAGTGTTAGGGGGGCTGTTGTTATTGATGGCAAGATATGGACAAGGAAAGTTAGACCAGAAAATAATGAGAGCTTGAGGCAGGTGTCACAGAAAAAGGCAATAAGCCCAAACCAAAGCGGTTGTGAAGTAATGATTGGATCTATATCTGTGCCTGTGAAAAATTGCACTCAACACCAACACGGCAATAACCTAGAGGAAGCACAAGATGACTCTGGCGACAAACAGGATTCAGAGCCTAAGAAACATAATATTCCTGAAAATCAAAATAAAAATGTTCATTCTAAGTACACAACAAACAGACCATCAAACAAGCATTGGAGGCCTGTGAGCAGGCATGACAGGGGCAGACAAGATCAAGAAGACGGGGTTTTAGTGAAAGTTGATGATCGAACTTTATCCAGTGAAATTTTTCAGCAATCACATTACATGGTCAATGGCAATAACAAGAACCATTCATGTCTACCACCAGAAGGAAACACTCATTCAGAAGGCTTACCATTATGCAGTAGTGTTGCAAAAGCTTTTCTTGCTCAGAGTATGTTCTAATTTGTTTCGTACTTGTTCATCTTTCGTGCTGAATTTCGCCCGTCAATGTTAAACATCTTTGGCAATCTTAGGTTCAACTTTTATTGACTGTTTGATCTTATTAAATGAATGTAGGATGGAAGGAGGCTATCTCAGCTGATCACGTGAAATTAGTCCTTTGCCCTGCTCCTGCAACTGCTCCTGAAGCTCAATGTGACACTCTGGAAGCAACCAGTCCCAGCGTAAGATTTTCAGGAACATAATATTCTTTCTACCAATAATGGACTTGTGAATTAATTCTCTTGTGGAAATCCTACCATGAAGATTAGAAAGAGGCGATCAACAGAAGTACATTTCTAAGAAAAGAAAAAAAAAAAAAAAACCATTTAGGTAAACCAAGAAACTTTTTGTGGGCTAGACTTGCAGTCCAATTCTCTAAATCAGTTTGAACAGCAGAGGTTCCGTTTTACTAGTGATCTTCTGTCAGGAAATGAAGCTTTTAGTTTTCGGAGTCTGTTCTTTAATTGGTCTTCTGTCAGGGGGGAGAAATAGTTTACTTGTCAACTCTCTTTTGTTTTCATTTTCTTTTTGGCAGTTCTTTTGCCAATCCTGATATTACTGTGATAAATTGTTGCGTCGTTTTATTTTTATTTTATTCCTTTTTCATACTAGGACCATGTGATATCTAATGGTTAGCCAAACAATGTATGAATATAAACTAGAAGATGGCTTAACATAAGACCAACTGCAACTTCCCATTTTCTATCCTGAGACCATCCCATCTCAATTTTATTAATGACCTATTCACCTGTTCAGTTCACCGGAAAAAAAATATTTTTTTTGGTGAGATAAAAAGTAAATTTTTTTTGTTTGGTACAAATTTAACATGGAGAATTAATTCTAATAGAAAACGAATTCCTAAAATTTGTAAAAAAAAAAAAAAATTAGAATTATTACCTTCACATATCTTTACATAGTAAAGGTATTTGAATATTTATACAAATTATTCTCAACTTTCCCCATTCTTTTTCACGAGGGAAGATAGAAGAAGCAAGTGCATAATGTAATGTGGATACGCAACTGTTATTTCATTGAATGAGATTAATCATTACACAACAGTTCAACCATCAAAATTATTGACCAGTGCAGCCTTCTAAAGGTTAAATGGGAGCTCATATTACATTTATAACTTCCATAGGAAACAAGACACTAGTATTGGGATAAAAATTGAGTACAACACTAAAAACTAGGGTGGTAATGACACAATTTTCAACTAAAATGGTTAAAAAGAATACCAACACAAAACAGGTTGTAAGAATTTTCATTTTTTTTTTTTTTGGGTGGGGAAAATGGAAATGTATAGAGAAATCAAGACTTGCCAAACCACAAACTGAATTTCCTTTTCATTTGCTCTCCTCCCCTACACTAAGGAAAAACTTCTGACCTTGGATCTGGAACTCAATTTCAAAGTTGAGCAAGCCAGATGAATACTTCTACATGCAGTGAGGTGTGTAAACAAGACTGCACCAATTAGCCACTTTAACCTCATCTTAAACTTGATAGAGGACTGCCCACCCCCATGCCATCATCCCCCAACTGACCGAGCCTGCTTACAACATTCAGATTTTCCACCAGACAGACAAGTGGTTCACTCTCGCCCACAGAAACACTCGAAATTAATAATCTTGAGTTGCTGTTCATCTTGGATGCAAAAAGGCAGGCAGCTATTCTGTACATCTCCTAAGAGAACCATTACCATTCATAGATATTGGTACGAGCCTCCGCTCTTGACCCAAAGATAGAAGCTCCTGCATCCTCTCTGGCCAGACGGAGTTTAGCCTCCGAGCAAAATCCTCAACCTCCCTGATACACAGAACAGGAATCATTTTGCAGAAATATGAAGTTAATTCACAAATTCAAGGACATAACATAATCATCACACCTGTCAAGTTCTTCCTTCATTGCGGGATCTAACTCATCATCAATATCACCGTCATCAAAGTCGAGCTTAGGCGACAGTATACCAGATGCAGAACCTTGCTGCTTAGAAGTTCTACTTGGAGAAGGCACGTCATCAGTGCCACCACTTGGCTGGCTGGAGGGAAGACAATTATGCTCCTGATGAATCCAGAGAAACCAGTGAAATTAAATACAAAGCAGCACACACTATAAAAAGAAGATAGTAACCGACATTGAATAGGAGCATAAAACATTAGTTCACATCACACCGACCTTACTGTTGCTTCCAGCCTCACTACTTGAAGAATTTTTAGCCTGATCTTTCTTTCGTCGATTTTTCTTCTTATTCTTATTAGCTCGTACTCCTTTTGTGTCTGTCAAAGAAAAAAATGCCCTATGAACTACATAAAAGTTTAAGAATAATGCAAGTGCCTAAATAACATGGAAGTTTTAGGTGGAGACTCACACATATAATAAAAGAGAGTTCTCAAAGAGCGTGAAAACCAAACAGAATTGTGCCAAAAATAAGGTCATGATAAAAGTGCATCAAAAGGTTGACGAGCATATGGAGCCACAGATGTCATGAACTACAGAAGAGTCCAATCCAAATACAACTGTCATGCAAACACCAACTAAATGGAAGCTCACTTCAATGAGACATTATAACTCTCGGAAATAATAATAATAATAATAATAATAATAAAGAAAACATTTCAGTAGTGCAAATAACTTAACTATATTGCAGTACATCATGTGGAAAGTTAACAAATTCCTTTATGAGAAGTGTGTCCAAAATTGTTTCTTAGATACCTCCATCTCCACCATTTATGAATGACAAAAGATCATCGACGGAGCGCTCATCCAAACACTGCTCTTCTTCCACCTCGACATTCTGGAAGATATGGCTAGTATTTAATACTAAACTATCATTTCCGATAGAACGTGACCTTCACGTTTAAGGAAAGAAAGAAACTACTACTATGAAAAAAAAAATTGGAGGAACAGAACCCCAAGTTGGCACACCTTTAATTTCTGTCTTTCTTTTAACTCTTTCCTTTTACGTGCATAAAGTCGATTGAGAAGTCGGATCCGTGGATCATCAGTCATATTTCTCAAGGGCTCCAATTTCTCTTCCTGATAGAAAACCATTTTTATGTCGGTAATAACAATGTGATGAACATGGTTATAAATACTGTGCAGATGATTTTAACCTCTGTTAGGTCATCAGGTAAATGGAAGGTTTCACGTATTTCCTCAGGACTTTTGCCTTCAATCATCCGAGCAAGTGCACGGCAGGTAAGATCAACCAAAGGCCTCAGCTGGAGACTATCGGCAGCAGAAGCTAACTCACATAACTTATTTGTATCCAACCGGATGAACTTTTCATCATAAGTTTTGCGTTCCTAGGTACAAAACAGAAAAGACAACCACTAAAGTGAGAGCTTACATCTCCAACAGGCCAGTACACGTACAAATGCAAACAAACAAGAAGCCAAAAACAGACCTTATTAGAACGACCTGGTAATTGATGGAATCGACAGTAATCCAGTATTAAACCCAAGATAGCAGGATTTACTCGTTGAGGTAGTGTTATTGCATAATTTTTGGAGGAACCCATGCCAGATTGAAGAACTTCTCTACAAATCATAGGGCAAAACATTGCGACCTCTTCCTCTACTTGTTGAATTGAACCATCGGCAGTTTGGAGCCAGATAAATGACTTCATCTTGAAAAATAAGTAACAAAGCCAACTAAGCAGAGAAAATGTGAAACTTCATAAAGAGAAAACAAGTGTATTAAGCACGAAAGTGATATAATAATGCTCATGACTTGAATATTTAAGGAAAGCATAGATTCAGTTCTCATTCAAACATAATAGTGACTACTCAAGTTGGTCAAGTATGATTACACAAGGAAGGGCATAAGGAACCATGGGTATGACTATTCAACCCACTCAGGCGTGTATTATCACCATCAAACACAATGATATAAAGCATAAAGGGTTTTGAAGGATGTCATTTGTCATTGAAGAAGAAAAATGACAAACACCCATCCTACATACCTCTGGTTTGACGACTGCCATGGACCTTTCTGACAGGTGATGAGGCAAGAATGATGTGATTGGCCTTCGGAAAAGAGCAAAAATTCTTCACCATGTAATCACTTCCCAGCTCCAATTATGCATCTATGTACATTCTCAACGAAAAGAAAGAAAAAAAAAAAAAAAAAAAAAGAGGTCAGTTCTTACTATTCTTTTCAATGGAAAAATATCATGCAATGGTGGACGACAATTTGTATTATGGAATAGAATAACTGGACCATTACATCTCTACTTCTCCATTATAAGTTTATAACCTTTACTGTGCGGTATGCACTCATATATGCTTGTTATGCAAAGGGAATGTTATCCCCGTGATAAGGAAAACAAAATTAAAATTACAAAAAGGAAAAAAGTTGTTTCACAGATAATGACAGGAAGAATTTTCACTCTCAAGAAAATTCCTAATTACAGAACCAAATGACTTGTAATTGTCTCCTTCCGCAACCAATTGGATGCCTCAAGTCTTCTTTAACTTCCAACCAAACCCGAAACTAAAAAGAACACGAGAGGGGAAAAAAAAGAAGATTTTTAAAAAAAGAATCCTAATACCAGAGAGAAAATGCAGAATTCAATTATTTGAATGTGGAATATTTTCTCCGCCCAAACAGTGATCTTTCCCGCGGCATAAACATATGGCTTCATCAAGGCCCTCAAATTTAAAGCAAGAGCAACATCTCCAAACTTCATCAACTAACACAACACATATTCTACAATACTTCGCACTCCATGAATTAAATTCATCACCACAAATAATTTCAACACGCCAGCCACTTTAGTCCGACAATCACAGTTTGCCCTTGCAATCAATCACTTCAAACGTCATTCCCACAACATTTCACCACCATTACCCACCTCCTAAACACCAATCACCTTAAAAGTCCTATTTCCCACCATCCCACCCTGTCTATGCTAGATGCCAAATACACCAAATAAATCAACCAAGCTACAACTGTTCTAAATCTTCAAAGCATACTTCAATTCAATAATCCACCTCAATTAAGCTCACTAAGAATCGAGGAATACGCGTACCGACTACTCCGAAACTATTCATCAAAACCGAGCTGAAAATTTTATATATTTTTAAAATTAATTAAAACACATGCGTTGAGATTAGAAATGAAAGACGTACATACCGAAAGTGAAAACTGAATCCAGGACAGGAGTGAAGCTGTCTGTAGACTGTGCTGCGGGAGAGAGATGACGAAGAAGTACGGCTAGGGTTTGAGAACGCGAAAAAAAAATAAATAAAAATAAATTAAAAAAATAAGTAAAAATAGAAATGGGGTTAAAAAATGGAAAGCGGAAATATTCTATCTTTAGGAGGAAGAGGTTATGTGCGCTTTTGTGTTGTGTTCTTGTACCGCCACGTGACCGTCAATTGTTCGTCCCCGATTAGCACGTGGTAGCGGTTAAGGCTTTATGATGGGATTAATGGATATCTGTTCAAAATTTCGTTAGGGTCATCCATTGTTTTAACCGCTATTTAAATTTTACTCAAATTCTGTACTTATTTACTGTCTTAAGCAGTTAATTTGTTCAATTTCATTACTACGGAAAATATTTTTTAGAATTTCCTCTCGTATCTTATGTGGTGTGTTGTAAATAATAGTTAGCTAATTGTTTTAGTGGGTTTTACTAGTTGATAACATTAGTTAATTGTAAAAAAATGTTTGGTAAATTAGTTGTTAGTTGATAGCTAATTACATACAAAATGAGTTTCTCAAAAAACTAATCAAAAAAACTGTTTTGAGTAGCTTTTTGAATTTAAGTGTTTTGGAGCAATCAACTGTTACAAAAAACTAATTAATCAAACACTCATATTGGTTATTTAACCAAGTCAAATAACTAATAGTAGTCAAACAAAACAAAGTTGGATGATAGGCTAATATTTTACCAAACTTGACCTATATTTATTGGGTGCTTATAAATTGCGCAAATTATGCTGTGCAACTGAATGCACCATGCGCATGGTGCATACGGTGCAAAACGACGTCGTTTTGGTTAAAAAACGCGCGTCCCACTTAAAAAAAGAAATTAGGTTCGATTCTCGGCAATAACATTTTTATATATCCATAAATTCATAACTATATATCCACAAATTCATAACTATATATCCACAGTGAATGAATGAAGTAAAAATCCACAATGAATGAACTAAATATCCATAATGAATGAACTAAATATCCACAATGATTGAACTAAATATCCACAATGAATGAACTAAATATCCATAAATTCATAACTATATATCCAGAAATTCATAACTATATATCCACAGTGAATGAATGAAGTAAATATCTACAATGAATGAACTAAATATCAACAATGAATGAACTAAATATCCATAAATTCATAACTATATATTCACAATAATGCTATTGTCGATAATCAAACCTGATTTTTTTTTAAGTGGGACGCGTATTTTTAGTCAAAACGACGTCGTTTTGCATCGTATGCACCATGCACATGGTGCATTCGGTTGCACAGCATAACTATTGTCTAAATTGTCTGATATCATTGCTAATTATAAATAATAAAAAAAAGAATTTAATTAATATAAGTAATTAAATATTGAAAAGTCTAATCAGATGATTCCACACAAATGATATAAAGAAAATATAAGAAGTGTATGTAGCGTTACTATAATAAAATTATATATGATAATAGTAAAATTTCTTATTTTTAAAAATCATTTAATACCTCATTGTTTTAACTTGAGTTTTACAGGCTAGGTTCAGTATTGGCCAAATTATATGGTGGATCATGATCTACATTGTAATGTAGATCATAAATAAATGCTCATGTTTAACATATGGAATTACATTATTTATATATTGAAAGTTCATTATTCGATATACAACTAAATAATGAACTTTCAACACACAAAAAATGTACCTCCAAAAATGAACATTTAGTATATTAAAAATATACATTATATCCCTTCAATATATATATATATATATATATATATATATATATATATATATATATATATATCAATAATGGTTCACCTTATAAGGTGGACGATGGTATAATAATTCATAATTGTCACTATATTGGGCCTGTGCCTGGGGTTTGGGCTAGGCCCAGTTGGTAATCCAGTAAATTTTGGTTGGTTTTCTGGGCCAGAGTGGATTTTAAGAAGACGACAGGCTATGGCCACTAACAATCGGCAAATTATATTATGCACCGCGGTGCATAATCGATTATGCACTGCGCGTCTTTTTTTTTTTAAATGAAAATAAACAGTGTTAGTTTTCGCCATTTTGCACCCTTTTACAAAAAGTAACTCTGTTATTCAGTGTCATTTTGTATACACTGCAGTTTCAGTTATACACTGCTGGGAATCGAACCTGATTTTTTTTTTAAGGGAAGACGCGCGTTTTATTAAAACGACGTGCATGGTACATACAGATGTACAGCATAATTTGCCTTGTCTAGATGGGTAATTATAATCTTCCAAATTTAATTTTCTATGAAAACTACTTATAAGCTTTTTTTTTTTTTTTATTTGTGCTGATCGGGTAATTATAATCTTCCAAATTTAATTTTCTATGAAAACTACTTATAAGCTTTTTTTTATTTGTGCTGTTCAAACTATAAAAACTATAAACAACCTAGACTAATTTACTTCCATGTAATCTTTTACTAGCTATAATCACAAGACAGGCTTCACCAGTCCACCTTCAGATAATGACTACGAACTTTTTCAATAAATCAAAGAAAGAACAATGTGATTAAGGTAAAAATAATGCCTTTGATTATTTGTCAAATCAAGAATCTCCAGAGATGTAAATTTTAATTTTTTTTTTTTTTAAAAAAAAAAGATAAATAAATATAATGTAAGTAACTGTTATTTGATTAATCTGCAGAGTTGTGAATCTCTTCACTCACTGTTTGCTGTACAGTCAACTTGGACCTGCCACCAAAGAAAAAAGAAGGGAATTCCCAGACGTAGTGAATATCCATCCATCCAGGGCTTAATCTTTAATATCCTCCTCTATTTGATGATAAATATACAAGTTGTTTGATACAAGAACCATCTGAGTGAAAAAAAAGCAGCTATTAACTGAATTACTTGACGCCGTCATCCCCAAAACAAGCAAGCAGATAATTCAGTAATGCATCAGTTAAGTATCATCATCAAGTTCAATCTTTAGCGCTCAATTTTGTACAAGCCGCTGTGAGGTTCGGGGAAGGTATCAGTGACAGCTCAGCAGGTCAGTTCAACATTTGCAGGGGAAGAAGAAGAAGCTTTATACTTGGAAATGATAGCAAAGTGGGAGGGAGGTCAAGCTTAGTGTACCTTGGAAGGCATTACTACCATTGCTCGAGCGATGAAAAAGGGCGAAGGAATCCCCGGAGAATTGTTACTCCAGTTGGATGACCCTTAGCTTCCTTTACAATGATAGACAATTATGAAGTAAACCCGTTAAACAATGTAAGGCAATAGGTTTTCCCTCTTTTTTTTTTTTCCTGAAAAAACAAAATGAAAAGGAATTAGTTCATGTCCCTCCTGTCCGACCTGCCAAGGGGGGGCAAGGATTCAGATCTAGTGATGGGACTGGTTTGTCGTGATCCCTTAAAAGTTGCTGAGTAACACGATTAGCCAAGACCGACTGCCCATCATTAGTTTCTACACCGGTGAGCCTTCCGAACTGCTTCCCAAGTGCATCATTTTCACACGGTGTCATGTCACGGAAGACACTAGATCCTGATTGCATCCCTCGAAAGACATCAGGATCCCAATAAGGGCCATTAACTTGCAAGTGGACCGAGTGATTGAAGTGATGAAATGGGATTGCACCAGCCCCACCAGAGAGTGGTGTGGATGAGCCCGATGTGTTGAGAGGACTTGATATGGGCGATGGAGACATCCTCCCATTTAGGTGTTGAGGAGACCTCGGGTGTAAAAGGGGGCTCCCCATTGGAGAGACTGGGCAAGAAACATTCCTTGGAATGTGGATATCACTGAACAAAATTAAAAAATCAGAGAAAAAAGTTACTAATTAATATATATATATACATATAAATTTTTTCCCTATTGTATTTGTGAAAAACTAATATACCTGTAGTGGAAAGTAGATTTTGATACTCTTGATGAGTGGATAGCAAGTCTTTCTGGTTCAAAATTAGGAATATTTCTTCTATGCGCAATGCCCTGAAAAAACAATTCATAAATGAAATAGCAGTGAGCTACATCTTCAGTGAGTGTACAAAATCAGTTTGTTACATCTTTGGAAGGAACAAGAAAATATGATGAAAAATGTGCTTCATAAAAGAGGGGAGATTAGGACTTTTATGATGAAAAGAATGTTCAAAACAAGAAAGAAGAGTTAATGAATGCCTAAGAAAGTTATCATACTGCGAATTATCAATGTTTAGATCAAAAGAATGAACAGCCTGAGTACATTATCAGGCATCTAATATTTGTTAAATAAGAAAAAACATAACAGAAAGAATCTCCAATATTTTAACAGAAGAAAATGACCAAGATTCATTACCTGAGATGTGATGCCATTTGTGCTGGTAAATGGAGGATCAGGTTGTGATTGGACAATAGTAGGCTTTTCAGGAGAGGCAGCATTTTTTACAAAAGGATGGTCTAATAGCTGAGCAGCAGTAGGACGATTGAGTGGATCACGCTGCAAGCATTTCATGATAAAATCCTTCCCTTCGTTTGATAGGTGTTCCGGAATTGTTGGAAGTTCTTTACTATTGCCAATCTTAAACATTGCAGCAACCTTCATACCAGAACATAACACAGGTTAAGAAACAAAGATAGATTGCATACCAAACAAATTCAAAGCACACAACAATAGCATGCACTTCATTACAGTCAATTTGGACATAAAAATATTTATGCTAAATCCCACAGAGGCATGTGCATTCATCAAATTAAATGGAGAATTACAGACCCCTTCATACTGGCTCCAAGGAGGTTTTGAAGTGGCCATTTCTAAGACTGTGCACCCAAGACTCCATATATCAACAGCAAGGTTGCAGCCATTTGAATTCTTAATGACCTGAGTGATGATAATGAGCAATTATAGTATCAATGACTTAAACAGGAACAAAGGGAATTTTCAAAAGCACTGTATAACACATGAGAGTTCCAACCTCAGGAGCCATCCAATAAGGACTTCCTTTCAATGACAAAGGACATGACTGCCCTGTAATCTGCACATTTGAATTATTTAGAGATTAAATTCAAAAACTGAGGGATTGGAGAATCAAAGCTTTCACATCCTAACCTAAAGTCAAAGGCCAGTGCCACTTGCCCACTTGACCACAAGGTCTTAGGCGATTAAATTCAAAACTATGTAATCAAATTGGAATAGGAAAAAAAATCAATTCATCAGTGTTCACAACTAATATAAATGTTACTTCTTGACAAGGCATGCATCACAATAATATAACAAAAGTTGAATTCACGCAAAACTGAGGAAGCACAATCATAAAAGTAGTAACATTTCTTCCCAGTTTAAAAATGTTCATGTATGTTAACAAAGTGAGGCAATTTTCTTAAAATCATCATTTCTGAACCATCAAAGCATATGCATTGACTTACATGCTTTGCCATGCCAAAGTCAGCCAACTTGATGCGACCATTTGGATCCACAAGAATATTTGCTCCTTTAATATCTCTGCCAGAAATTTTAAGCAATATAAAAGGTAAGTGATTTTTTCTAGCATAGGCTTCAGGAAATTGACATACCACCCGACCAACAAATCAGTGTTACCTATGCAGAGTATTTTTAGCATGTAAATATGCAAGTCCAGATAAGATTTGCTGGGTATAACTTCGGATGGCTGTTTCTCCAAATGCCCCATAATCCTGTAAAAGCTTATAGATAGAACCACCAGATACATATTCCAAGTATATATACAGCTTATCGCCAACCTGATTCAAGAATATATTGCAGCAGGAAGCTAGTTTAGTACAATGATGGAGGCTTCAAATGGGAATATATATTGCAGACAAACAACACAAGTATAAATCCCACTAATTTCATGATTGAGATCTGCAGCAAGTTGTAAAAACTTGTCTAAACATCATGTGAGATAAAACACTACTTCAACAACTTTGAGTTCACAACAGACAATTTGTCAAACATCGTTTTAATTTCAAATCTTCATATGCGGAGAATTAAGATTTATAGCGAAGAATTAATTATTGGAATTTGCGCAAATGCACTAACCATTTCAGACCCATAATACTGTACAATGTTTGGATGCCTTAACCGGCTCAAAAATGCAATCTCCTGCAAAACAACCAGATTTAAGAACTAAAAAATGCATTGAAGTTTTTCTTTGCACAATTTTTTGGCAAATAACTTACTTGGGCCAATTGCTTAGCGCTTTCCTTTGATTTTGCATCATCAGAAAATAATGTAACTTCCTTCATTGCACACATTTCACCATTATCACTGAACAGAGGTTTAAGTCAAGAAAATAATAAAAGCAATCAGTGAGATGTTTAATGAATGAGTGAAGTTTATACGATTACAAAGTATCATAGTAGTTGGCTAGTTGCCTCACTATAGATACTTAAAAACTAAAAATTGATGCATCTGCATGTACATAAAACACCACATTCATCATGTGGTCAAGCCCAATAAAAAGGAAAAAAGGTAAAATGACAAGAACGAATATGTCATAAGCATGTACCTGTTAAAACCAACATAAACATGTCCAAATGTGCCCCTACCCAACAACTTTCCCTTTTTCCAGCGTGAGCCAGGACTTGTTAGAGGCTCTGCTCTCCCTGGACTTCGAGGCACCGAGGGAGATGCAGCGGCTGAATTTGAATGAGAAAAATGTGAAGAATTGGGCACTGTTAAGGGAGGAAGGGGCAAGGGATGACTTTGTTGTTTTCCATCATCAGTTCGGTTAGTGTGGGGTTCAGATGCTCCACCTCCAGCCCTTGGGTGAATTGGTGTGACGGCACCACTTTGAACTCTGGAGCTAGGTCCAGGACTTCTCATTCTGGGACTAGGATTTGGAGAATATTCAGGACTTCCTCTACTAGGCTGCCAAAATAATTGTCCTGATGTGTCTCCTCCCATTGAATTATGCCCAGAATTCTGGCCCGAGCCTGGACTTGAACAATAGCTAGAACCATGCAAATGAAAATCAGGAAAAGCCCTTCCTACCCATACTGTAGAACATGGAACTTGCTCAGTGCCAGTAATTCTAATGGGACTTCTAGAAGGACTGGACATTGAGCTATCCGGAGCACTGCAAAAAGCACCATGACAAGGGACTTGTATATTAGGCACATGACTGTTTCTCCTTTTAGGAGACGAAGATGGGACATGTCTGCTGATGGAAAGATTAATTGGTTCTGCTGGCTCTCTCACACTTATTTGTCCAACAGGCGATTGATCCTTAACATTCACACTGCAATAAAATCAAGAATTATGGCAAATAGTGATGGACCTTTCGGCAACTATTGAGAAAGGAAAAAGTAAAAATAAGTAGAACCAAAAGATAAACATGTCATTATACAAGGTATTTCATTTCTTTTAATGGTTTTCTGTATTTGCTCACCTAGATGGGCTACCCAAGGCAGTTTTGCTCCCGAATTCATAATCAGATGCAAGTGGACTATGCTGCCGTGAGTCAGTCAGATCATCACTCTCAACAGAGCATCCACTTGACACTGATGCAACTGCCAATTCCCCATCTGCATCTGCAGGATCCAATCTGTTTCTGATGCATCCAGGCCTAGGTAGAGGCCTAAAAAGGGATGCCTTGGATACCTTCTCCAGCTTTGGCTTTGTTGATGAACTGATTCCAGAGTCTGTTCGGACTACTCTTGCGGAATGCAAGCCCGGAAGGGGAAGTGGTTGGGCCAGTGGCCTTTCAGCAAAGCTTTGACATCTTTGTACATGTTTGGAAGGTGATGTTGATCTTGATTGAGCTTGAGATTGAGACCACTTCTCTGCAACCGTGTTATTACTATGCTTTTGAGATCCTCCAGGCTTAATGGAAGACTTACTGTCAGATGGGTTCTTCAACTTTCTTTGTAGTGTATCAATGAAACTTTCTTTATTTGATTTCTTCTTTGGTTCCTTGGATGACTTTGACCACCATGAAGGCATGTTTCTTGGTGCTAAGAAATTTCAAATCAAACACTTGTCAGAAAGTCACACTTATTAACCAAACATCAAATATAAGTAGAGAAGTCAATAGAGGTTATGACCTATGATCTACTATCAAATATAAGGTTCTCAGACCTATATCACCTCAAATCCTCAATACCTTTATTACGTGCTCACCTATGGACTTAATAAAGTACTTTAGAAACAAGAGCTTACACTTTACAGAATAAAGTATCATACATTTGAAGCACATCCAGAACAACCAATCTCCCATCATTTCAGATAAATATGTAAAACCCGGAGACTTGATCAATTGTCAAGTAGCTAGGGTGCTGGATTTTCATTATTAATGTAAAGATCAAAGATTGTTTCAAGTTCCTAACTTCTGGCCCAAAATAAGTACTCTATATATGGATATCATGGCAACCAATAAGTGAATCTTTCTATATCTAACAATAATTAGGTAAAGTTTGCCCCTTTTTCCCTTTGTTCACCGTTTCAAGAAATTTATTTCCTTTATAAATATTGCACGAAAATAATTCCATTAATATGTTCCCTGCACCTGGCACTTTACCAACATAAACACACTTTATATCAGATCGCCTTCAGAATAATTCCATCTTCTTCATTGGAATTCCCTAAAAATGTCACCTAAAATTACCTTCCTCCATTTTCCCACCTTTACCAACTTCTCATTGCCTTCAAATAAATGAGAAACTAACTGATCCTACTGATCCCCAAGTATTTTAGAAAAGAAAACAACTCTGATCTCAACAAATCAAACAACGGCTATTTATCGCAGATCTAGCAAAGCATCCAACCACAAAACAGCTAAAGCAGAAATCTCTCACATAATTTAGCAAATCCAACAAGCGTTCGGAAATGTCTAACGGAGCTCACTCACCTCAGCTTCTTAGCTGTCACATAGCGCGAAAGCAGCCAGGTCGCTGCCAGATTAGAGCTCTGTATCAAAAATGACAGAGCTCAAATGAAACCCTAGAAAGCTCACTCTGCACCCGCCGAACTGCGCTTCCGAAGAAGAAGATGGAGAAGAATTGGGAGAGGCTGTGAAGAGATAGCGTAGAGTTGAAGATTGAGAGAGAGAGAGAGATAGAGAGAGTGATTGAAGTGTTGGAGCAGAGAGAAATGGAACTTCAGAGCTGTCTCACTGATAATTTTATTACGCAGTATTAATGATGAAGCAGAAATTAATTTTATAATTATGAAATAATTAAAAAGTTTCGATTCCGTTTCCATTGCTACTTGCTAGTTGCTACCTTCCTTTTCCTTTTCCTTTTCTCCTTTTTCTTATGTTTCATGCAATAATACCAATTATTCATCTTTATTCTAAAATGGAAAATTTTATATAACGTTAAAAAAAAAAAGTGTCAATTTGAAATCTTAATTTAACAAATATTGTAATTAAATTTTCTAATTGAAAAAACTCATGAAGTCTTATAAATCGGTAAAATAGTATAATTAAAATAGATTATTATATATTCAGTAACTTACAATTTATATAATGTCATCTAAGAAGTTACGGGTTAATTTAGTCACTCTTACATCAGTAGTAACGTGTTGTAATAAACTAATAATAAAATCTATTTCACTATTTTGTTGCTTTTAGGGGTTCTTAGTGAACAAATTTCAATTAGGGGACAAATTGTACTATTTGCTAAAAAAAGACTAATTTGACACATGTTCCTAACGTTAAACAATCATAAAATATCCTGAAAGTGGTAGGCGAGTGAATAGAGCATGATTCTCGTATTAATTTAATTTGTGAGAACACCTTTTCGGTCAAGCATATCACACATGATATTCATAGTGTGATTTATATATCATGTGTGGTTTACAATTTATTATATAGAAGCGTAGTTTCCATTAATAACAGATTGTTCACGATATAAATACAAAGCACACAAATAGAATTCTACTACAATTACAATAATAGAGTCATATATTGAACTATCTACTTTTTGTTTAGTGCGGAACACCCACTTACAACCAACAACATCTATACCTGGTGGATTCAAGATCTATATTGGTACCAGGTGAGAACAGTAATTCTGGTCAATCCATTAATAACAGAATGTTCACGATATAAATACAAAATATACAAACAGAATTCTACTACAATTTACATCTTCCCACATGCTTTGTCGGGTAGGAGTGTGGGGGACCCTTAGGGTTGGGGATTCAGCCTTTTGAGGTGAGAATTCTACTACAATTACAATAATAGGATCCTAATAGTTATGATTTTCCTTTGTCTTTCGAAAAATTAATAATAATAATAATAATAATAATAATAATAATAATAATAATAATAATAATAATAATAATAATAAACGAATAAATAAATAAATAAAATCAAAGAAGAAGGGAATGAACTACTACAAATAAAAGTGTGGTAACTTCTTCAAAAAAATAAAAGTGTGGTAACACTCTTTTACTTTTATTATTTTAAAAATATTATTTTTAAATTACAATAATCGATATTATGAAAACCTTTTTAATGTTATATTACACGATACCTTTTTTAAATACATACAATTATTTATTTTATTTAATTATTTTTAAATTAAAAATGTCTATTGCAAATATTGTGCACTAATCAGTTTAAGTCACATATTATATACAATTTACAATATATTTTATTTTTTATTGTATAGTTTTTAATGAGATTTGTGTTACCTAATAATTGCTGTTAATTTCTACACCAAAATAATAATAATAATAATAATAATAATAATAATAATAGTAATAATAATAATAATAATAATTGATGTTGATTTATAATTAATTTTGCAAATTTTAAATACATATAAATATCCAAAATAAAAAGATAAAGAAAAGTTAAATACACTGGTTTAAAAACACCTACTTTCCTTAGTTGCTAAGTACTGCACTTGGTTAGTAGCTACCGAACTTTAACTCTTTATCCTTAAGCATTTGATGCTAGTTTGGTTAAAAGGAAAATGCTTTTTTGTCCTTTGAATGCACCCCATTCTTTATTTTTATTGTAAATTTTATTTATTGATTGTTCCCAAATTGACTAATCAATTACTATTTAAAAAAAAAAAATTGAATTGTACAATAAAATAATATCACGCTATGATGTGAAAATTGAATGGAAAAATTAAGAGACACTACAAGAAAAATGCACAAAGGTTAATCGTTGTCTTTTCTAGGACATTAGTTTCAAAAACATGTAATAGACAACGGTTTTTAACCGTTGTTTTTTTTCTTACAGGACTTACAACAACAGAAATTTTACCTCAAATTCTACGTACATTTTTCTTGCAGTGAGAGATGTATAGCATTATTCTATTTAAAAGTTGCACCGGTACAATATTATTTATGATGCCTTTTACTTACTTTTTTTTTTTTTTGGTTTAATTTTACAAAGGTTGGGGAACAAGTATAATTTGAGTTCGACAAAGAGAGTGTTAGTAAGAATCAAACTTATGACTTTTTGGTACAAGAACAACACCTACCCCTTTGGGGTGCCTTTTTTTTAAAAAAATAAAAAATAAAAAAATCTACAGTAACTACACGATTGTATGAATGAGATAAATCTCACAAGTTGAACCCAATAAGGCCAATAAATCAATCTTTCCTATGAGTTAAATTTGTAATCTTATGATTATTATAATTTTTAAAATAGTTTTATAATTGTTATTTTGTGACATGACATACAAACATTGTACATTGCTTGATTATTACTCCCTTCGTCCCATTTTATTTGTCCAATTCGATTAACGAGGCTTAATTGAAGTTATTTTTAATTCAAATTTTCATAATATTAAGTTTAGTATTAGTATATAAAATTTATATATTTAGAAACTACATTAAAAATACTATTAAACACAAATAATTAAATTTAAAAATAATTAAAATTTATTAAAAAAATAAGCAATAAATAAAGAATTTGGTTAATCAATAAAATTGGATAGAAGGAATATATGATTCTTTTTGTATTTTCACGTCAATTTTTTTACTAAATAATTAACCATTTGTGAATTGGTTAGGCGGGCTAGTCTATAAGTAATTAATAAATATAATATTTTAAATATCTATATTATTTAATTAATTAAGTGCTCCTAGAGATAAATATAAGTATTGGGCCGCATGGCTTGGTGGACCTAAGCCTACACGAACACTATCTCACTAGGCTTTCCGGAAGTAGACCTATGATTCTGTGAGTTGACTTTATTCTTTCTTTCTCTCTTTTTATTTTTTTATTTTTATTTTTTTTCTTTTTTACAATGAGATTTATTGTGTATTTTTAGAGCTTATTCATCTATAATTTGTCTCATATTTTGAAGCAAAAGAAGTGATGTCGAAAAGAAATTAATTTGGGTGTTGGGGTGGGGGAAGATAGCAAGTTTAGTGTTATAACTTTTTTTCTTTGAAACTTTTTTTAAATATTAGAAAAAAAAAAAAAGAGCTAACGCTGTTGCGTGCACCAACGTTGCCCAACGAGTGTATCAGGATGACCATCAACTTGCAACCATCATAATTTTTTTCTTCTTTTATTTTTTATTTGTTATTTTTGTTCTCATACAAAAGCAAATTAAAATTGAGTTTAATTATTATGGTTGCTCTTACAACCACATTAATTTTATATTGTATTTAATTTTTTTTTAATATGTTTATTCACATTCATTTTTTAAATTCTTTATTGTCTTTCATATTTTGTAGTTTTAAATTTTTAAAAACAAAAATTTTCTGGTCGATAAACTATTTCGAAATTCAACATGTACTTATCCTTAAAATGAATCATCAACTTGTCAAATGATTGGTTGGTTTGATAATTATTATATTGATTAATCTAAAAGCAAACAAACACACAAGATATTGATATCAGAATATGATGGGATATAATGTCACATTCTTCTTTACCATCTCAACAATATATCCTCACATTCCATCTTTAATAGGCTAAGATCGAATATGACAAAATCTTGTCTAACAATTCCAGATTTCATACCAAACCTAATCACACTTCTAAGTTCTAACAACAATAGAAGTTCTATGTTTAGTTAATACCTAGGGTATGTTTGGTTAACAAGTTTAGCTTTAAGAAATGTGTATCAAATTGATTGGTATTGTTTGGTTGATAGGTTTTTAGAACACTATTATGAGTTTTAAATACCCCTTTAATTGAAAAACACATATCCAAATAAAATAAGGGTTTTATCCCCTTTCATTTCCTTATTCCTTATTATCTCCTTTGATTAGTGTTTTTAGATTTTTTTTTTAATTCATATTGATGTTTTGTATGCCTTTATATTAGAATCAATTGTCTTGATTTTGTGTTATTGTATTTTTAAGATCTCTATTCTCATTATTTGATCATACATAACCAAACAGTATTATTGATAATCATTCTCATTCTACCCTACTACAAAACATGCAAAAATGCAAAATACTTTCACTAAAACTCATTACCATTACCAAGTATTTGATACTCATTCCGATTCCGATTCTCATGTTCGAACCAAACACACCCTAACGGGGCATTTGGTTGAAGGCCACCTAATTCCAAAGGCCACAAAATTCCCTTGTTTGGTGGAAAGGAATTGCAATTTCATGGGATTGCAATTTCCCCATTTTCATGGAATTAAAATCCGATGTCCCCCTGGGATTTTAATTCCTCGGATTTTAGGAAGAAAAAAAGATAATGATGAGTCAAAATTACCCATTCCTTTTTAACCTAAAATTAATGCCTAACAACAACAATGGACATTTTTAACTTTATACTACTTATTCCCTTTCAATTCTCATGTATACCAAACATTGAAATTGAAATTTCCAGTAATTATATTCCTGTAAACCAAACACTGAAATTTAAATTCCACTTTATTCTCAATAATTCATCTCCCATGGAATTGCAATTCCTTTCCCACGTAATTCCCTCCCTCCAACCAAACGTAATTCATCTCCCAAAGGAATTGCCACGGTCCACGGTATAACACCGATTCTTATTACTAAAAAAAGAGGAAGCATGCTGACCCAAAAGAAAGTGCAACTAACATGATTCAAATCTACGCCCTATGAGATAACAACACAATCACCAACCACTTAAGCCACTTAATAATATATTATATACTAAAAGGTATGATTCTCTACTTACCCGTGTGAAGATCGTTGACATCCATGTAGTGGGAAACACG